TGCTTATTGTGTTGCCTATTTGATGTTTTTGATACAAGCACAAGGACCACGTGAGCTCATGCAAAAGGTACGTTTGACTGAAAATAATAGGAGGAAAACATAGTTATTCTTGATAAATAGGTGTATCATCATCAAAGTTTTTTTCTGAACTATTTTGAATTGGTTTACGAATCCTAAATGTCATTTTACCTTTTTAAAGGCCATACCCTCAGTAAAATCTTTTCTCACTACTTTCAACCAATTTTTTTAGGCTTATTTTTTACCTTTTTTCATCTTTCCATTTGAATTTTTTTTTTTTTAAGCGTTTTTTCTTAACGTTGTTTACAAATAAATTATTTATATTTGTCTCTTTTTTTTTAGCGTTGTTTATCTTGTTTTTGGGAAACATGCTGCCTCACCTAAATTTGGGATCCAAATCTTTCAACATTCTAAGTTTCTAATCATTTGTAAATGAATTCTAAAGTCAAACATTATCTATTCCATAAGGGCACATTTTTTTTAACATTGTTTTAAAATCAGGATCGGTGGAAATTTTTTACCAAGCAATTACAAAGTGTGTATGATTTTCTGTTGCGTGTTTGAGGAAGTTACATCCCCGAATTTGAAGGGCTAAGAATGGTCCTATACAAGGGTTTACCTAAGAGAGGGAATCTCCAGCATAAAATCTTTTGACATTTATTTGAAAATAAAGTGTTCATCCCTTTTTGGTTTTTAAGGAATAAGTTTATATAGAGCCGAGGCGCGAACAATCAAATTAGAGCCTACCTTAAAATTTTCATTAGAAGATGTTGTTTTGATGCCATAATATCTTCAAATTGATCATCTCGATATCAAGATGCATGAATATGAGAAAAAAATGGATTTCAAAATTTGAAAATAGTATATTTTGTAACGTATTTTTGGATCGTCAATTTTCAAGATTTCCAAGTTTTCATAGATCTATCGATCTACACTATTTTTAAAGCTTGAAATTTTATAAATAAAGATAAAAATATATTTTAAGGCTATCACAAAGATTTCTAATATTGAAACAACATTGCTCGACACTATTTAAAGGTAGGCTCTAATTTAATTGTCTAGAGCCTAGGCTCTATACATACTGCACTTTTTTTTAAATTCGGAATGGACGGGCTATTTCTAGTGTGAAAATGTACCTTAAAAAAACTTCCCCTTATCCAACCGTCCATTCTGAATGGAGGGCTAAGATTGGCCCATTCACAGTGTCACGTTTCTACACTATTTTATTTTAAATTTTCTCTATAAACTATTTTGACACAAAATTTTGTATGTCGAATCTTCTATTAAACTAGTACTAGCAAAAAATTTAAAACAAAAATATTTTCAATAAAATAAAATGATCAAAATACCTTTAAAATTTTCAAGGGGTATTTTGATCATTATAATTTATCAAAAATTATTTTTAATATTTTTTATAGGTGCGCCGCAATGAGAAGATGACACATACAAAATTTCATATTCATACAATTTATATAAAAAAACTAAAAATAAAATACTTTGAGACGTCGGATCTAAGATCAAATGGTGAGTGGTTCTCTTGATCAAAATTGAACGGCTGGATAACAAGGGAAGCATAGATCTTTTAGGGAAAGTATAGAAACCTTTCCCTAAAAAATTTAGACCAAATGTGTCACAAGAAAATCCATTTCCCAGCCAAGCAAAATAAATTAAATGAGGCGGTGACAGTGTACTGAGTAGCATATTGGAGCATTTATTTCCCAATCCATGCACATGGGTTCTCCCCCAGATTCCTACAACAAATAAAACAGAATCTTACAGCAACATCATATCCAAGTTGGCATGGGTACTTTCACTCACAACTTTACATCCAATAATCAAACATCAAACACAGTGATAATTCTCAACTCCAATATGGTTTAAGTGTTTTTAACTTTTCAAAGATAGAACAATAACTAAAAGTAAAGGAAAATGGTTTGATATGGCTGCAGCCCTATCAAAACAAGTGAAGCTTCGCCTAATAACTCATCAAAAAATACAATTCAAGTGTTGGAAAACCTTTAAGGGAAAATATAGAATGAGACCATTTACGTTTGGTAGAGGCATTAATCTTGACCATTGGATATGAAATTGGATGGCAGCAATTATTCCATTGACCAAGATCAAACTTTAAAAGAAATTTTCTCGAACTTTGTGACACATCCAAATTATCAAACTTCATATCGGATTATAAGTAATTGTGACCACCTTGTATCAAAGGTAAATAGTCTCATTGTATACAATCCCAACCTTTAAATCAAGGATGAAGTTTCTATAAGGCTTAAGCTTTACGAAAACAAAATAAAACCTCACCTCAAATCTTCATTTGGAAAGCACTTTCGATAAAGGAAATCTCCATGATGGCTTTAAAATCAATTACCAACATTAATAGTAAAATTTAAAACTAAAAAAATGTTACAGATCTTGTAGATATGTGAACACTTATTTTTAAGGTAAAATGGTCGGTCTAAATAATGTGTTACAATATACACTATTCTAGAGCTTGAAATCCTAAATTTTTTTCACAACCATAATGTTCAAGTTGAGATGATCGATGTACAGGTTTTCCAATGCTTGAATTGCAATTTTGGATGAGTTATTATGAGGTGAGGCTTTATTTACTTTGATAGAGCTGCAGCCCTATCAAAGTAGTTTCCTTAAATAATCTAGGCCGTCTATTTTGCCCTATAAATAAGGGTTAACAGATCCACAATATTTGAACAAATTTTTGAATTTCGAAATTTATTCTCGATGTTGGAAATTGATTTGAGAGCCATCATGGAGATTTTCAATGCCGAAAGTACTTTCTAAATGAGGAATTGAGATGAAGTTTTATTTTGTTTTCATAAAGACTAGGTCGTAGAGAACCTTCATCCAAAAGTAAAAAGATAACAAAAAAAATTATAGTTTTGGCATCAGAAAACCTTTAAATCAATCATCCCGACCTTGATAATTACAGTTGTGGAAAAAATTAAGATTTCAAGAAATAAAAATAATGTAAATTAATCACATTATCTAGACCGTCTATTTTCAAATATTCACATCTATACTATATTTTAAGCTACAATTTCGAGTACAAATTGATTTTAGAGCCATCACAAATATCACACGTCAAAAGTGGTTTTCAAATGAGACTTTAACACGAGACTTTGATTTTTTTTTTTTTGTTTTTTTAATAAAGCTTAGATCTCATAAAAACTAAAATCCACTAAAAAATTAGGTGGAGTTCCTATTTTCTTAAAAAAGTAATTATTTTTAAAATAATTATTTAAAAGTTTTTTTTTATTGAAACTTTGTCAGCATTACCTAACAGATAGGAAGAGGATTGAAATAATAAGAAGTTAAAATAGTAATGCTCACCTTTTCCAAGGCAAGACACCTGTTCAAATAAATGGGGCCATGTTTTTCATATAAAACAATTTAATCTACATATACTAATGCTTCTGGAGATCAAGAGTGTCAAAATTGGAAAGGAACTACCACTTATTAAAATGGGAGCATGGTCAGAAAGTGCTAAAGCAACTCTTTCTCTCTCTACACTTATTTCTCCCTTCCAAAGAAAAATTGTAACCTCCAACTGATGGTCCAATCTTATCCACTAAAAAATTCCAAAAAATATACTACTCCATCGGGAGTATACTGTCTATTGACTCCCTTAAGTAAAATCCCATCTAAAATTAGTTTTGAGACCCTAGATTTGACTATATGACCTGTTTAACACATAGATTAACTTTAATAAATTTTTTTAATTGTACTCTCTAAACACTTGAAAAGAAAATTATATCGTAAGATTGAATAAAAACCATCTAATTTTTAGAAGGTAAGATTTAAGTGTTAAAAACTCAAAATTTTCATATTTTTTTAAGAATAATCATCTAGTGATTTTATGGTGGTTGCTAAGATTTGAGATTGAAAAATCCTCATAAGTAAGTCATATGTGATAAAAGGAGGAGAAATAAACTATGCTCCTGCAAAAACACAGTATACATGCTAAAAAAGATAATAAGTTGGGGCGTTGGGGCACCTTTTTTGCCCCTCTCTCTCTCTAGAGGTCAGCTATTGAAAGGAAATAATGCGAGTTAAAAATAGTCTTTTCAAATGGGGTGCGGTTTGTAAGGCTCTAAACAATCAAAATAAAAAACATTTTTTAAATAATGTCGAGAAATATGATTTCAATATTGAAAATATTTGTGATATTTTTAAAATATATTTTTTATTAATTATAAGATTTAAAGTTTAAAAAATAGGGTAGATCCAGTAAATTTATGAAAACTTGAAAATTGGTAATCCAAAAAATGCATTACAAGATGCATTATTTTCAAAATTTGAAATTCATTTTTTTTCTCATTTCCATGCATTTTGATGTTGAGATGATCAATTTGATGATATATGAGCATCAAAACAATCTCTTCTAGTAAATTTTTTGAAGTGTGCTCTAATTTGATTATTTAGAGCCCCTCGGCTCTATATAAACTTTTGGAAAAAATGGTTTGGCTCGGGTAGAAAGATTATATAAAAACAATTATAATTAACGATCTAAATATTTTTTTAATATAATAATAATAATTATTATTATTATTATTTTTTATATTCATAATCTCCGTTAAAAATTGTATATTATCTAAAAATTAGGATTAAATTATATTTCAAAATATATTTAGTGCTGAGCTCGTATTTATGCAATATGTTGGCTGACCCAATAGAAACCATGTAGTAAAATTTTTCTCAAAAAAAAATAGTAATTTTAAATATATTTTTAGAGTAATGATCCTGCTATAAGACCCACTTCCACTCATGTGAACAGTATTTTAAAAGATTATCACAAAAACTGATACGGATCTCAAAACAATTATCATATGAATGTATACTTGATTTTTCCATAGATCCGAGATAAATTTAATAGTGATCGTATAAGGTCGTACAATATCCTATATACATGGGTCGAAGAGGTCATATAGGATAATTTCTCATGTTTCGAACCGGGCATCACTTTCTCTCTTTATCCTGGCCTCTCTCTCTAACCTGGCATCACTTTCTCGCTCAAACCTGGCGTCTCTCTCTCTAACCTGGCATCTAAATCTCTGTCTGATTTCCCCTAAAAAAAGAAAATGGCGTTGTATCTTAATGGGTACAGTCACCTTTCATAGGAAAGTTGTCGGCGACAAATCTCCCCCAAATCCTTTGCCCCCATCTCTCTCTAGGATCTGGAGGTCAGCTCACTTTAATGGATAATGAACTCATTAGTGGAAGTTACAGTGTAATCGTAATTCATTCATGGCCGTTACTTTCTCTCTCTAGGCACCTCTCCTCAACTTTTATGAGAATTGCTCCCAGGAAGTTACGTTATAAACTCTGCCACACAGTGGTTATATTTCTTAAAGACATGTGATCTATCCCAGCTTTTTAGCCATTTAAGTACACTGATTGTCTCCTCCAGTGGCTGGTTTCTCTCTCTCCTGCACATTTCTCTCTCTCTTCATTCTGTTTTTTTTGTTTTTTTCATTTTTATAATTACTACTGCACCTTTTTTTTGGTGGGGTGTTCATTTTATTTGATTTTTTGTTGCCCCCATCTCTCAGGCGTTTGTTTGTGCAGTTATGGGTCTAAAGGAGAGGTTAGGTGGGTAGAGAGAGAGAGGGGGAAAAGTTTTGAAGTTTCAGGGCGATGCTCTGTTCTTGTTTTCTCTGGGGTAAAGCTTCAACAGGCGTTGCTTAGGGGACAAAGATGGGGGCTTCCTCTTTGTTCCTTCATGGGTTTTGTCTCTGTTGACAAACAATATGAGAATGAAGCAGAGAGGGAAATTTGTTGCTTTGATACTGGTGCTGCTTCTGTTGATGTTCACCTTCTTGTTTTTTGACACTCGAGCAGGTACCCTTTTCCTGGTTTTACGGTTTTTAGTTTGGTAACTTATTATACTTTCCTTCTCTTTGGGGTTGGAGAAACTTTTGTCATGTGCATTTGCTTGATGTTTTTCTCTGTGTTTCGAATTTGAACTGCTGCATTGTAAGCCTCAACCTTGCACTTAATTTTGCTCCTTGTAGAGATAGAGCAACTGTAAATCTGGACCAGTGCGAGACATCTATGTGAAACATATTGAAGAAGCAAGATTTCTGCAATATTCTTGACAACTTTCTGATAAATTCACTGTTGATATGGCAACTTTTTTGATTGATTCACTCTTAGAGATCTCTCATAATGTCTGGGAGTTAGAATCAGTTATGCTAGGGATCAGAAGCTTGCTAGGAAACGACTATTTCAAAATGTTGGGTATCTCATGTTGTGAGATCCAATGCGTATATTCAGAATTTTCAGTTTATATGTTTTTCAATTTGTTCTTTATTATTTTCTTGGTGCAGTGGAAACTCGTGTGGGAATTGTTTCCATGGGGCATTTCTTTCTTGCGCTGGTGAAGTAAGGAAATCAAAGTGGATGGCCTTAATCTGTGTTCTTTCTTTTTGTCTTCTCTGGCATAATATTCATCTTTGCAGGGCTTGTTGGGAGATGAGAGAGATTGTCCAGTCCATTTATTGCTTGTGAAGAGGGGATGGGATAAAAATGGGATAGGATATATAATTAAATTTGATACATTGTTTGAGGCCTCCTTGTTTTACAACACTTTGTTGTCATTTCTCATAACCAATTTGGCTTCGCAAGTTTAAAAGCTGTGAAAGTTCGGATCGCACGTGAAGTGGAAACTGGAGAACTTGATGGATAATTAGTAGGGTGTGATTGAAATAGGCAATGATTTTTTTGATAGCAACTTTATAGGAAGTATCAAACTTGGGTTGATAGATCCTTGTTGCAGTGAAGTGCGTATCCTTGTTATAATGAACTGCCTAATTTATGAATAATGTGACTTCGTTGGCTGAGGCAAGCAACTGCCAGATAATACAGAGAAGCAATGAAGGTTACCGAGATGTTGTTTTAGTCATTTGAGCGGTTTCTGACAAGCTTGGACTATACAATCGATGGGCATTAGCAAGAAGCAAGCCAAGTTGAAATGTGGTCAATGGATCTCCAGGACTCCACTTCCTGTTTAAATTTTATGCCCACAGTTAAATATGGGTCCTCGTTGAGGATGGAATTCAGATTGGAGTCATGCAACTTAGTATGAACTCTGAATTTTGGGAACCATATGCATTTTTGGGTGTTTTGAAGGTAGGGCCAAAAAGTGTATACTACGGCTGAAAATGCCTATTCACTGGCTTTGTATGGTTATATATGTTCCAACATATTAAATTCATCTAGCTATAGAAAAGAAACAACCTTTGTGTTTCCTTTAGTTAAATAAAACATTCGTTCTTATTTGGTGCTAATCCTAGCAATCCTTTACTTATTGAGGTGTTGGTGAATTTATGAGATGGGTTTCTTTGTTGTATCACACTTGTAGCTCTCATGTGCTCTGCATGATGCTGAAAGTGGCTTGGTATGAGAAAGACTAGGGTGAATGAGAAAACTGACAGCACAAGTCCCATGGGAGATATCAAACAATAATAATGACATTTCAATGGTTTGTTTGGACCATATTTCAGATCTCATAAAAAAACAAATTAAAAAGAGGAAATTAGGATGATTAGGCCACGGAAGTGGCCATTTTTGGATCCCATGTGTGGGGTTCTCTTTAAATGGGAGGCAGCCCATGTGGCTTGTGGTGAGCTCTTCTTTAAGAGGGGAGGTAACCACTTGTGAGTCGATCATTTAAGGCTGGCCTCCCCCCTTTTCTATTGCCGTGTATCACTATTAAAGATGACATGTACATAACTTTTTGAATATACATTGTTTTATTAAACCTAATTTTCTGAATATACATTGTTTTATTAAACCTATACTTATATAGAAAGAAGAAAGCCCTCCATTTTGCAGAAGGGTTGATTTTCATGTTCTTTTTATCTCTCTCGGTTCTTCTTTCTATGCCTGATGGGTCAAAATTCCTGACTATGAGTTTCTTGAGATCCAAATGTTGGATTTTGACAGTATTAGTGTCAAATCAAAGTGTATGAAGCTCCTTACCAATTTGGCATTAAATATCAAATAATAGCTATGCTTTAGAAGATCTTTGGGAATACAGATAAGAGAACCTACGAGCTCTGGTTGTATCCTGTAAGTATACCTATCGGGACCTGATTTCATCTTGGATTATACGCCAAGTCGGGGATGTTTAGTACTTCGAAGAAAGTGAGACTATGTTGTGCCTCAGGTCCTCCCATTTATATTTTCTTTGGTGTTTTTAATTTTGTATATATCTCTCCTTTCTACTTTGATACTGGGACCTAGACCCTCGGGGTTTAATTGATTAAAGAAAATTCTAAATATCATGTGAAAATTGACTTCAGTCAAGGTGAGATTATGCCGAAATTTTGTTACAAGGTAAGCAGGAAACCAACAATTTCAAAGTATTAAAGGTAAATTGAGATGGCCAGGATTAGTGAGATTGTGATGTAGTGATGGTGTGAAATTTAGAAGGTGATAGTCCATGGTCTACTATTTGTCGAGGACCTTGAGGGTTGACTCTGTACCAAAGAAACATGTGCTGCCCCTTCTAGTCCTACAACTTCTCATACTGAAAATAACCAGAATAATGGATCATCATCTAGCCAGACCCTGCTAGGCTAACAATGGCACAATTTACCAATCATTAGAAAAAATACAATAGTATAAAGAAGATGATTGCACGTGCAAAGGGCATATCCTGAATGCTTCAAGTGAATTCTTGTTTGCTATCTACTCAAGAATGCCATGTTTGCTATCTACTCAGGAATGCCAAAAACAAAGACCTATGGGAAGCTCTGGAGGCATAATACAAGAAAAATATGCTGAAAGAAAGAAGTCAATTTTAAGATTACAAAGGAGAGATCATTGTTGGCTCAAATCCATATTTTCAGACTATAGCCAATGAACATGCATCCAATGGTGTCAAATTTGATTAGTCCTTCCACATGGTGTGATAATAAACAAACTGCTGCCCACTTAGGAAGACTATAGAGAAACTCTGATATATAAGCTAGAGGACTTGAGCTTGGGGCATCTAATGACTCATCTGAGAATCAAAGAGGAGACCGGAATCCGAGATTTGAAAGTGTACACGTCACGGATGGTTGCTAGAGCACATGTCATTAAAGGTCCGAAAACAAGCCAAAGATCACTTAGGACAAAGGAAATATATTTATGGTATGCTACTTTGTGGAAAACCCTTTCAAATATGGAAATTCTGCAGGCTTCGAAAGAAGCAGCAAGATCAAGTTAATGTGTCTGAAGAAAAGTATGTTGTCATGATTTCCAAAGTAAATGTAGTAGGAGGGCACTATATAATGGTGGGTGGACTTAAGAGCGACCAGATATATATCTAATAGCATGTTTAGAGCATACGAAATGGTGGGAATGGAATTGTCCTTTGTCTAGGCAATTCTTCTTTTGCCAACGTTGTTGGAAAAGGGAAAGTAGAACTAAAATCATTTCTGGAAAATTTCTCACCCTTTTGGATGTATATCATGCTCTCGAAGTCCTGAGAAATTTAATGTTCATATACCTTTTAAATCAACAGGATTTTAAGCTTGTCTTTGAGTTCAACGAGTTCATCTTGTCAAGGAATGGTGTCTTTGTAGGTATGGGATATGCCTCTGTAGGCATGTTTAAGCTCAATGTAAATAATGAAACGCATAAATCTTCTTCTGTGTATATACTGCCTATTTCTTTATGGCATGGTAGATTACACCAACATTAATTTTTATGCTTTGAAGAAAGTGAATGCTTTAGACATTATCCCGAAAAGTGAGAATTTGGAGAACACTCTATATGATATGCCTGTACTGTGTAAGATCACAAGGAACGCTTCCCTAAATCCAAAAGAAGTTTCAAATTATTGGCATTGATACACAATGATGTTTGTGATTTGAGAGATGTATATAGATCTGTGGTGGGAAGAAATACTTTTTTACTTTTATTGATCATTTCTCAAGATACTTTTTTACTTTTATTTGATTGGAAACAAAGATAGAGTATTTGATGAATTCATAATATACAAAACATAAGTTGAAAACCAATAAATTTGAAAATTAAGGTTTTCAGAGGTGATTGACACACTAGGTTCACTAAACATTGTGGAAATAATGGAATTAGCGCCAATTTTCTGCCCCATACCATGATAGAATGCTTTAGCCAAAAGGAAAATAACACACTTATCTTTATGGTGAATGCCATGCTCATTAATTCAAACCATCTTGCTAATTTTTTGGGAGAGGCTTTAGTGTCAGCATGTTATGCTTTTAGTAGATTGCCATACTCAAAATCTAATGCTACATGCCTACATCATATGAACTTCAGAAAGGAAGGAAACCTTATTTAGGATTTCTCATGGTTTGGAGTCGTTAGCCTTGGTAAGACTCCTTGACCTTAAGAAGCTCAAACTTAGATCTATTAAGTGTGTTTTTATGGGCTACGCTAAACTAGGAGAAGCCTATACATTTCTGGACTTTGAATCTAGTGTGATTGTGGAGTCCAGGATGCAGAGTATTTTGAACACCCTTTTATTGGAGAGCACGGTAATGAATACGAGGAATGTCATGGAAAATGTATAATTGATGAGCATGAAAACCCTGAGGACTTAGAACCCAGGAGAAGTAAAAGAGTTGGGAAACAATTGATTTTGGACATAACTTAAAAGATGTATGTCATTGAAGAACAACCTAAAAGTTTACAAGATGCATGTCCTCACGCGATGCTCCATTTTGGTGGGAGGTGCTCATCAATGAGATGGATTACTAGTAAATAATACTTGGAGTTTGGATTTACCTCCTCGTGGTAAGCCTTATGGTATCAGGATATTCGAAAAGAAAATTAAGGCAGATGGTACTATTGAGCAATATAAAATA